ATTTTGTTTAAAATTTCAAATATATTAGCATCAAGCAGCTCCTAGGTCATCTCTGCTGTATCTTGGGGTTAAATCCCTTTTTTGGTGTTTATGCTGTTTATATGTGCCCTGTCTTATTACGCCAGTTTTATAGTTTTGTCATTTGAATTTATCTTGTATCTTTTTCTGATTCATTTATTCTTTCTTATATTCTTTGCCTCTATATTGTTTCTTCTGTTATTTTTCCAACTTCTATTACACATTTAGTCTTTTTCCCTTAATTTAAGCATTTAAAGGGAGACTATTAAAGAGAGGGGAGGAAAGGGAAGAGGGACATGTGGGGGAAATGATCAAAGGATGTTACTGAATGTACTACAAATGTGCCAAAATGAAACCCACTATCCTGTATAACAAAAATATAACAAAGAAGTCATTTTCTTCAAAGTGTTATTTCTGCTATATTATCCAATTTTAAAGCAAACTACTTATAATTAGGCTCTAAGTACTTAAGTTTTCATCTTATATCTACAAAAGCCTTTTAGATTTTTTACAAGTTATGGTTTTAAAAAATTAATCTTCATTACTGAACTCTACTTGTTTCTCATTATCCATTCAATACCTATTATCTGAAATGTGTTATTTACTTCATGCCTAATGGCACATGGTTAACTATTTGTAGAATATAATAATTCAAAAATACTAATTGTCAACTACAACATTCTAAATATGTACATTGAATCAGTATTATTATTGAAATAGTTTCACTCATTTTTTTTGCTTGAGACCTGTTGAAATATTTCACTATTGCTCATTTGTTTCTTTAGCCCTATAGTTCATATATTCTGAGGTCATTTCATAAGTTATTACAGAAAATTAAAATTGCTCTGTATTTTTTTTTTTTTTTTTTTTTTTTTTTTTTTTTTTGGTTTTTCTCCGGTACTGGGAACCGAACTCACGACCTTACGCTTGCCAGGCAGGCGCTTTTGCCGCTGAGCTAAATCCCCAGCCCTGCTCTGTATTCTCAGTGTTACATATTTTTAGTGTGCTTCTCTATCTTTAGTATATGTGGGGCCAAAGCAAGGACATGCTACTCTATCTTTGATAATGCTATCGCAAAGTCTAGTTTTGATTTAACATCACTAAAAGTACATGTTTTCAGGGCTGGGGATTTAGCTCAGCGGCACAGCACCTGCCTGGCAAGCGCAAGGTTGTGAGTTTGATTCCCGGTACCGGAGAAAAACCAAAAAACACAAAAAAGTACATGTTTTCAGTATTTGCCTATATTAGACAAGTTTATTTCATGCTTTTTTTCAACCTTCCTATGTTTTATACTTTTTCTTTTAATCATTCTACAGTTAGCATTTAAAAGAGTCTGGTAACTCAGATCAACTAAGTAATTTAACATATTATTGCTAGTGGTAAGGATGGAACCTACAACCTTGTACAGTACATGCTAGATAAGCACTCTACCACTGAGCTATACCCCCAGCCCTATTAGGTTGCCTTCTAATTTTGATCCCCCTCCATTTATTTGTATTGAATTGTTCCCTTCCTACTTGTGATAGTCAGCTGTGGTTTCAACTTGAAACACCTAGCTGATTTAGTGTAGTTCTGGGTATGTCTGAATGATTCACTTACTGAAGAGGGAACATTTGTTGATGTGGGTGACAGCAACTAATGATTGTAGGATGGAATAAAAAAGGGAAAGAAGAAGTCTCGCTTCTGTTTTTTTGGAGGAGTGCCAGTCTTCACCATCACCCGTGGGTGTCTGTCTCTAGCCTTGCAGCACAAACTTGAGCTTTCCAGTGCACTCTTCAGCTTTTCAGCACACACTCTTTGGCTTCCTGATAGGGCCTCGCACAGGACTCTGCAGTGAGCTCCAGATCTTTGACTTTTGACTGGATCCTTCAGATCTCCAGCACATAGACAGCACTTCTGCATTCTTCCACACACGACTTTTCAGGTAGCTACTGTAAACCTACCCTGTAAATCCATAATATCTCTTATATTAAATCTGTTCCTCTAGAGAACACTAAGTGATACACCTTATCAACTTGACACATTTCCTTAAACCATACTTAATTTCCAGATATAGTAGAAGTTCATAATTATGCCTAACATAGTGCAACCATCCTACATACAAACAGAAGTATATTAACTCCATCCCTAGGGTAGAAGGCAAGTTTTTCTTTTGGTAATGCTTACTTGTAATATTTCATAAATTAAATACTATAATGTAAGTTTAACAATACTGAAGAACCAATATTGTCTATCAACATTATGTTACAAAGAAGCATATTAAAATAGGAGAAAACAATTACAATCCTCATTTCTCTAACTGATTACTGTGCCTTGCTGTGATGCTACCTGGTCATGTGCTTCAGAAGCCTTTGGAACTGGTTTTCAGGAGTTTGGAAAGGTTCAGATATGTTGGCTGGAGAAATCCTAGATGCTGTGAGTCAAGCTTGATGGGAGATTCTGGTCAGTGCTTGGGACACCCGGATGCTGACAGAAATGCAGCTGATAGTGATCAGGCTCAGGAGGTTTCAGTTGGGAAGGTTTCCACTGCAGTTGGACTCCAGGCAATGTGTGCTATGCTCTGGAAAAATATCTACTTTTTGCTCATGTTCACAAACTTCATGAGAAACTGGTTAAGCATTGCAGATTAATTTGGCAGAAAAAATTTCAAGGCAGTCTAATGTTGAGTTGGTGGTATGGATACTGTTGGGGGCTTTTAGGCAGCTCTATTTGAGAACCAAGAGCAAAGAGTCCAGCAGAATGATATAAAAAGTTGAGTTTGGCTAGAAAGGAAGTTCTGAGAATGTTCTGGCCCATAAAATGGAGCAGAGAACTTGGTTGTTGAAAAGATCAGCATTAGAAAGCCAATTACTTTGGAATAGGATGATAAAAAAGATGGCCATAGCATATCACAATAACGAACAGGACTCCACTCTTTGCAGGCTCCAAACTGGAAAGGTGAAAGACTTCACTTTGAGAAGACAGCCCTATGGCACATGCTGCACAATGGCAGCACCCTAGAGAATTGGAATTCAGTTCACCACATTCTACCATCCAGGAACTGAGGCCTCTGCAACCACCAGAAATATGCAAAAAGGGCTCAGCTACTGCTCTAGCTGGCAGCAGACTCTGGTGTCATCCTCGAAGTGCTGGTTTTAGGCACAGCAGAATGCAAAACTTGTAGGGTCAGCAAGCCTTCCACCCAGATTTCAAAAGGGCTGGAAAGCCAGGCAGTGTGTCCCTAAGAGGGAAGTGTGTAAAACTGAAGGGTGAAGCCAGTGCAGTAGAGACCCCAGGAATGTGGATCACCCAAGGAAAGCTGCAAGATGGGAGCAAAGCTGGTACAAGACAGAGGCCATGAGGGCTACAAACACTGGCAGTACTTTAGGTGCAGGGTCACCAAAGGCCTTTCAAGTTCACATCTTGTCACAACAGCTCCTGGTGCTGGACATGAAACTAGGATTTAGTGTTTACCCTGCTGCATTTTGATTTGCTTTGGCCCTCCTGCTTTCTATCCTCTTATTTCTGACCTTTGGAATGTGAATATATATCTTATACTATCAAATACTGGAAATGTTAGCTACTTTCATTTTTACAAGGGTTCACAGGTAAAAGTTTGCCTTAAATCTCAAAAGAAAGTTGGGATACACAAAACTTTTCAGCAATGCTGCAAGTGTTAGGGCTTTGCAACTTTTACAGATGGACTAAATGCATTTTGCATAAGTGGACATGCAGAGTCTTTTGGGGACAGAAACAATGTTATGGTTTATAACTAGATGTCCTCCCAAAGCCTTGTGCACTCATAGGTGTGGCTTTGGGGAGGTGACTGGGACAGAGTTTATAACTAGATGTCCTCCCAAAGTCTTGTGCACTCATAGGTGCAGCTTTGGGGAGGTGACTGGGACATGGGTGTGTGGTACTCAACACTAGATTGGTCCACTGATGGGTTTATAGGTAGGTCTGATGTTGAGAGGTGAAGCCTGGTAGGATGTGGGTCACTGTGGGAGTGGCCTGTAGATAAGAGATATGTATCCCTCCAACTCTCGATTGCTGCTGCTTCCTGCTTTTGCTGCCATGTCATATAACTTTCTTTCTGCCATGCTACCCTACCTTGCAGCCAACTGACTATGACCTGAAACCTATACAAACTGTAAGCCAAAATAAACCTTTACTCCTTTAACTTGTAGGTATTGGGTACTGTGTCCCAGAAATGAGAAAGTAACTAAGACACGACTTTTTATGCTTATTTTTCTTTGGAATGATTCCTCTCTTACCTATTCTGCTAGAGATTATGGTGAAATTTGAATATTCATATTTAAATCATCATTTTTTAAGGTTATATAGTACCTTAACCAGTTTTCTGAACAATGAAAGCAACTCATAACGCTTTAATTCGTCACTCTTCTCCCACCTTATAAGCTAATATGTGGTTTGCAGTTAGTCTTACTTGAAAATTCCACATTGATGTTGTATGACAATATTTATTTAGTTTTATATTTGTTTACAATTTCTTATAAACACTTTATTACAATTATTTTATACAAACAATACTTTAAATGAAGTTACATTTAGATCATCAGATCATCTGTCCGCAGCAATTTTCCTTGTTGAAGATCGAACTTTTACAGCTTTCTTAGTGAAGTTCTATTGGTCAGTTCTGTTTTGTGCAAATTCTAAACTGAATTCTGAAGTTATTATTCTACCATCTTTTGGGGACATCATTACCACTGAGAAACCTACTAAGCAGAAGATTTATGTTCAGAGATGATCTTTTTACCTCCTTTCATTGTTTTTAAAATTTTTATTTGGTATCTTGCCATTCACATATTTTAGCCTAGTTGTGGATTTTTAGATCTGTTTCAGACACAATGTGCTTCCTGAATTCCTGTTTTGCAACAAATGCAAAAAATTCTATCATCTCTTTAAATACTATCTCTTTTCCATTCTCTCTCTCTCTTCCTAGTAACACTAGTCCTTATAGTTCTTCCTTCCATGTCTTTTTAATACTTTCTAGCTCTTGTTTCTCCTTGCTGTTCAATGAGTAATGTCTTTAGATCTAGCTTCCCGTTCACTGGTATCTTCACTAGTTCTCTATAGAATCAGTTCCGTATTTTTCAATACATCCAAGTTTTTTCCTTATTTTAGTAAATGTATTTCTTATCCTTAGGAATTCCATATGGTGCTTTTCAGATCTGCCTGTGGCTCTACCCTTTATTTCTTATGTTGGGGATGAGAAGTCAGAAAACTAAATTCAATGTTTATTTTTTCCATACACTCTTTCTTATGCTTTCTAATTTCACCTTGTGGATGTTTTCCAGTCATAAAATAGTAATGTTTGATCATAATCTATGGGAAGCTTGGGCCTAAATTAGAAATACTTTCTGAGAGGAGCTACAAAGTACTACAAACAAGGTAATTAACGATCTCATGTTCACATCTGTCTTCCTGCTTCTGGTTTGAGGCAAACTGCATATGGTAGCACTGCTATAGGTATTTGCCGTCCAGAAAACCACATTCCATTTGCATACTTGAAATACTGTTCACGATTTCCCAACTTAAAATATATTCATTTTTGTAGGGGAAAAAAGATAGATGTGTAGTTCTTGAAGCTTTTTCCTACTCCTTTTGAACCTACTCAAAAGTAGATCTTATTCCTGAAACTAGTGGTTTCTCAGAATTCAGAGTAATATGTTTCTGTAAGCAAAAGTTTTATTTAACATACTGAAAATATTTATGATATACTAACCTGAGTAAGAACATTATTTGTCATCCTGTACTGACTTAAGCCTCTTGGCAAAGGTTTCTTAGTTGCTGATCTGAACAATACACACAATATATTGGAACTGAGTGTGTATTAGAAAGGTCCCAGAGGATAAAGTTACTCCACAAACTGTTGCCCCACATGGTAGGAATTTCCCCTAATACTCTATTACTGAGATTTTGTAGTCAATACTGACTGTTCAAATGTTCAATGCCCTGATCAATGTGTAATCCAGATCAATAAGACTAAAATCTATGGTATCTCACTTTTTATATCTTTTCAAAAATAGACAATAATGATGAATTACATGCAACTCTCACCTAAATGCATAACTTTATTTTTTAAAACTTGGGCCACCTATAATACAAGCAGGGCTAACCAAGGCAGCTGGTGATTTCATATTAGTCAGAAATATACCCCTAATACTCATTATGTCAGCAGATGTGGCTGCTACTGTCTTAAATGCAGGTGGATTGTTTACAACCTTGTTATTCACAGTTGTTGATCAATGTTTGCTGGATGATCAGGAAACTCTTTGTGCCTCACTCTAATCACTGAAGTAATGAAAGGAGATACCTACAGCAAGGACTGCAACTGCAAATGCTGCAATCATACCTAAAAGTAAAACAAACACAGAACAAATGGAAATGGGATGAGCAAAAGAAAAGCCTAATTGATCCTAGGTGGGATTACAGGTGGGTCTATAAAATAACAAACACATTGAGACATACACAAACACACACAGTCCTATATGTACATATATATATGCACTAAACCCTAATGAAATTGTAGCAATAACTTAAAAAATTAGATTGCAAACACTGGATAATGTCTCTCTGGCAGAGCAATGTGCATTCAGACAGTCCTCCTAGACTAAGCAATTCCAAAAATCTAGGAGAAAAAAATACTTCCAAAGGCTTTTGTGTGTATGTCTACACATATACATACACACATATACATATATAAACTCATATAACATACCAGCTATTTTTGATTTAGCTTAAGCCAGAAAATTTCAATTGCAGTAGCTTTCAATCATTACAATACAAAGTCATTACTATAGATATTCAAAACTGCAAAAGCCCAAGTTCCACTATTATGAAATCTAAGTATTAGTAAGTTTGGGTTGATAACTTTTATTTTTCTTGATTATAGTAAGTTAAAAAAAAAGATACTGATCAAAGTAACCCAGAGAGACAAAAACATAGACTCGAACTAAAGTTTACTTAATGAACAATAAGAACTACAACTAAATCTCTAGCTCCTAATTCACTTTTTTTCTTTCATTTGAAGAATTTTAATGTTTAGCATTTCTCAAATTATTCTTTGTCCAAAAAAACCTGAAACATGTTACAGTGTTGCACTTCTTAGAGTCTTTACAATATAAAATTGCATTATAAATTTCTAGACTTGAATTTAACTTTTTTCCTACAATAGTAATTCTAGGAATACCAGTTTGGAAAAGATCAACCTTTTCATACTAAGCAGTTCCTAAAAGCTTATGTATTTTCCTATAAAAACACCAGGAAAGTTAATAGGGTATCTCATCTTTGAGAGCACTTAGGTGACATTCCATTATTTATAGACCCTTCAATCTCCAGGGCTGGCAATATCCGTACTAGTCAATAAATACTGGCTTAATCTAGCACTTTTAAAAAATAAAAATAAAGTGAAAATAATTTTAAAGTAACAAAACTCAAATCCAAAGTATTATTTTTTTCAACATTTTAAAACATAAAATACCTATGTTTTGCTGAATTTTCAACACTACTGTAGTTTTAATTGGTTGTGCTGGCTGTTTATCTTCTGTGTTGTCCAGCGAAGCCTCATTACTCATAGAGGAACTCATACAAGCTGCAAGAAATAATAATGAATTCTACATAAAATGAGAATTGTCATTTTAGAGTTTTAAAGAATATAATAAGGAAAATATACGATCAATACCATATTTCTTCCATTGATCTTTTTTATAAGATAATGAATGTATTCATTTCTGAATGTAGGTGAATTAAATGTCATGGAGTATAAGTTAAACTCACAAAATTTTCAAAATACTTACTATTTTACCACTGACCTAAAGCAGAAGACCACAGACCCAATACTGAATGACTCCCAGTATTAACACAGTTCTTGAGTTAAAAATGGGTTATAAAAATAAAAAACACAAAACAGACTTTATGTGGATCACAAAATATTTACTATTTGTTCAATAGGGAAAAAATTTTAGTGACTCTTGATCAAACCTGGAATTTGATAACTACATCTAAAAACAACTCTTTCACTGATTCTTTTACTTACTCAAAAGAGATAGAACAAATGTGACAGGAGAAACATCGTCAATACTACTGCTTAAGGTAATACAGGCTACTATTTAACAGAAAAATTACTCTTTGTACCCCTTTGTACTGGCACAGGCTCACAGGATGACATAAAACTAAAATTGGATTAAGAGAGGAAAAATTACTTTCGTTAACTTCCCATGAAGAAATGTTTACTGTGACTTTTCAGATATAATCACTGGTGATTATTACCCCACTAGAATCAAGAGCACCACCATACTTTTTCCCCTTCTTTAGGCATGCAACCAAAGTTCTTTAAAAGCATATTGAAAAATCTTTTTTCTTTCGGGTGCTGGGGTCAAAAACAAGGGTCTAGTGCATGCCTGCCATACCTGCAAACACTGCTGCTGAGCTACATCCCTAGCCCTTTTTTCTACTCTCACATCTAATCAATCACAAAGGACAACAAATTCATATTGTAAGTTATTTATACGATATTCAGTATTTCCAGTTTCTACTTTTCTCAGGGGCTGTAACACCTTAGTTCTAGGCTATAAATAGCCCAACAGTTTCACACTTCTTCCAACTTTAACATATAGGTCTAAAAGTTGAATAGATAACATAATTTTATTCATGTTAAACAAGCAAATAACTGCTCTTCTATGAAAAAATATCTTCACTAAAGCTTTGGAGCCAATAAAAAATCCTTACATCGAATAAAAATAAGGGATAAGGTATGAATTTTATCTATTTGTTGTAAGAAATTTTCTACCTGAATACCTATAAACACAAAAATATTTTGTCATCCTATATGACTTATACATTTAACAGTGAATTGTTACATACACAATTTGTCACGTTACTCACATACTTAATATTGAGTTATATATGAAGATGGTGCTCTCACAAATCTAAGCACAAATGATTTACTTTTAGAAAAGACATTCTACTCCTCTACTATTTATAAGTTTATCATCATATGTGTTAGCTACTTTTCTTGTTGCTGAGACAAAATACCTGATACCCAAAATTAAAGAAAGAAAGGTTTATTTGGTTTACAGTTTGTAGATGTTTCAGTCTATAATCAGCTGGCTTCTAGGCAGGTGACAGACGGCAGAGGGGTAACAGTTCATTGTTGGGGGAGAGGGAAGGTAGTAAAAGCAAGAAGAGACCTTAACAGGTTCTTCTGCCTCTTTTATCTTACTCAGGCTATTCTGAGCGGGTCACATTCATAACCTTAATCCTAGTGGCCTTGAACCTAGTACTGTACCATGAATCAATTCCAGCGTCAAAACACTCTAGATCCACTCCCCTCTAAAAAAGCCCCAGGTATGACCACATGAGGCTTTAGGGGGAAAATAAACACAAGCCATATCATACAAAGTCATGTGATTTGATACAAATTTGAGATAATTTTACAGAAGCCGAGTATTTTCCAAGGATTAATAAATCCTGCCACAACAATTAATTTGTCACTTTGATGTTGGTAGGGGCTTAATATTTCACCTCTTATGTCATTTCACAATATTTTATCCAAAACTTAGAAGCAAGTAACATAATTCAGTAGAAAATTCAATTTTAACCAATTTCTTAAAACCAAGTAAATTTAAAAATCATACAATTTCCAGATTAATCACAGATAAAAGTAACCTTGTTGAAAGAAGAGTAAGAATGGCTACTATACAGGCAAAACTGTAGTCATGTTCAGGTTTTATTCCAATTGATAATGGCTATGCAGGCCTATTTGGAAGCATAAAATGAAATGTTAGGATCTGAACTTCATATTTGGTTGTTTTCCCTTCCTGTGCCATTACATTTATCACTAAAATCAGTGATTTAGCCATGAACAACAATTAACTTTAGCTCTAACACGGAGGCAGAATTGGCCAGATAAATTTCATCCAATTTTAAAGGCACATCCTCAATGTTTTTTAATGTGATACCACAGATAAAGTACATCTGAATTATTAAGTTAATGTGTACTAAGAGATGACTAAGATACATAAGAAATTTTAAAGCCAGAGTTATCCTTCATACAAGTGAGTCATTTTGACAAACAAATTGGTTTTTATCCCTTAAGTCATTTAACAGTATGTTATTTTAAGATAAATACTTGGCAAAATATGTATTGTAAACATAGCAACTATTTAGTAACTATAACATGGAACAGAAATAATTAATAATCACTCTAATGATTTCAAATTGTACCTAAAAATAAAATGAGATACTTACAAGTTTAATGCTCCTGAGCGTAAACTTGATTTTAATTTTTAAAACTAGTGCATTGTGGTTTATTTTATATAGAAACTAATTTTTTAAATGTTTAAGAAAATCTATGCATATCATAAACTTTAACAATTTAACATTAAAGTTTTTCAATATAATTTAGAAGTTAATTTAAAAGTTATTCTTTATTTAATATCATGTTAATATCATCCTCTAGTCATATTTTCTTCCCGTTTAGAAAGTATGTTCTTTAACATTTTTACCAAATTCTCACATCAACTCTAAGAAAATTTGGGGCTCAGAAAGAACTTGTTATACCACTGTAAGTGGCAGACCTTGACTCAAGCTAAACTACGGGGGTGATATGTTGGTTGTTGAACTCAATTTGCTCCAAATTCATGTTCAAACTCTGAAAAGTTGAAGAACATAACATAATTTTCTCATAAGAAATAATGGAAATCCAAATAATTGGTTCTGAAGCCCAAAATTATAAATTCATTTTCCGGGTTGTAAACGAATTTTGCAATGATTTCTTTCTTTAATTCTATTATGGTTCTCACAGTTTTCCTTGGCTTTACTGCTGCCATCACTAACTTTCTTCTGAACCATGGTTATGATTTTACAAAAAACACCAAAAAAAGAAAGCAATGTTTAATGCAGTAACACAAGCACTATATGCTGTCTGGACAAGAGCAGCGTGTAGACAAAAGCATCACCTATTTGTTTCTTTGGTGAGACACATGACTCACTCTCTGCCTGAAAGGTTTTTTGCAGTCAGATTTTCCGCTTGACTGTTGAGTAAAGTTATAAACACCAGATTTTTTTCAAGCTTTGCTGTTTGGTGGAGAGTCGTAGCTTGGAGCCATTTGACAACTGAGGTATTACTGTATTTTCATTAAAATCATGGCATCTAGTATCTGAGTCAATGACAATAATTGAATGTAATTCTAAACCGAAAGGAAGTTTATGTTAATGTGCCTAAGATTTTTATTAAAATTTGTTATTTTATCCTATTTCATAATTTAAGAATGGGTACTGAAAATACACGGAATTACTAAATCATTCCTTTGAATTCAATAAATACTTAATGAAAAAAGCCTAGTTTTTACCTAGACTCACCCTTCAAAATCAACTTAAATATCACTGACTGAGCTGAATCCCTTACAGACAGTGCCTCTGCTAAATGTTCTAAAATTCTGTTCATTCTTCTGTTACATACCTAATCACTTTGTCTTGTATAATCCATTCTTTGTATTAGCCACTGTACTTCAGAACCGTATCTTTAATCTTTAGAATCCTAATGCTCAATGCACAATATGCAATCAGTAAATCAATCACTCAGCTGAGGGTCCTGTAATGTCAAAAACTGAACAGAATCCAAGAAAGGTCATAGCTACCACACTTAAGTAGTACTGTCTTTAATACATTATATAATTTTTTAAAAGTAGGTAACACTACTGAGAAATGTACAATTTCATATAAATATCTATACCTAAACTTCCCAAACTGCTGTCCTGTTCCCTTCATTACTGTAACATTAAACTCATTAGAAATATTTTAAACAAGTGAAGGAAAACAAAACAAAAATACCCTTCTGAAAATGTTAGGTCCAATGTAAAAATGATAGCTAAAGGAGGAAACTGTGTTAGACAGTTGGATAATATGGACTATTTCCTACAAAAACAGCTTTGTTCTTATTTTTGGAACTTTCCATTTCATTTTCATGCCTCCAAAATATGATAGTGTATGAAAAGAAGACAAATTATATGAAGAACACATTTACTAAAAATATTTTTAAAACTTTATCACATGATACGAATCAAACAAGGTGAGTTTTGAGAAAATCGTTTTCCTATATTAAACACTTGAAAGGTATATATATTTTCACATATGTAAGACTAAACTTGTCTTTTGAAGATACATTTGCTAGGTTTGAAAAACCATGAAGTAACTTAAACTTTTGGTAGAATTTCCAAGGAAACCATTCACTGTATGTGTATATACGTAGAAATGAATCAGTGACACTTTTAATTCCTTCTGTTATTATTCTGGAGAGTCAAACATAATTAAGTTTAAGGAAATAATAAGCCATGATATTCAAACTAGACATCTCAGAAGTAATTTTAACTGTAGTATAATCAGTTTAATTACCTGTGTTGATTTCCTCTGCAATTTCCAAACGTTCTATTTGAATCACCTGATCTAACATCTCTACAAAATGGTCTCTGATTTCTTCAGTTGATTCATCACCAAATTTATAATCACATAACATTACAGTGGAACCAGGAATGGGGACAAAAACTCGGTGAGGGAGGATGTGGAACTCTTTTTCAGAATCTAAAAACAGAATGAACATTATTCTATTATTATATCAGTACATATACATTTTAGTATATAAAAACCTCTAATAGAAATAAAAAATGGCAATGCTTTTTTATCTTCTGATAGACATGGCCAAAAATCTGCTCTTACTGCATTCAACTTTGGACCATTACAAGGGACACGGGTGATACTCTTATGAAACTCACAAACTTATCATTTCTTCAACGTAAAAATTTTGATTACATATTCTTGTATAAGCCCCTGTCCTATGATGGAATACTCAAGGGAGAATTTCATCTATGGCCTATAAATTATTCATTTTAATCTTACAAACACTGTGAATTTTACAAACGACTTTTTCCTTATTCATGTACATTTGAGTCAGACAAGAGGCCCACCTGCATGAAGTATGTAGGATACAACAGCGTACATCATTTTTGTACCAATGTCACTATTCACTTCATTTTACTAAATATAGCCCCTTCCAATATCAAGCATGTTCAGGACATCAAGACATACATTTTGTGTACCAACCTCACTACTAATTCTACCTTCTTTCTTTTCTATACTTTTTGCCTCAGCCCTTATTTGTTTCATTTACTTATATAGTAATGTCTCTCTGTAAACAGCCTTAAGTAATTTTTTAAGAAAAATCTGAATCTAAACAAATATTTCCTTTTTCTTTGGATATTTACAAACTAGAATGTATTTCCCCAGATTCTGATATAAAATCACTGGGTACATCTATGATTCTCATGAACTGTTACAAAAATAGAGATTTTGTGTAAAGAATGATTTCTGTAAGCAACAGATATGATTACAAAGCTAATAATAAGATTAGGTAGACAATCTGCTCACTTTAATAGTAACCTATATTTCCTCTATCAATAAACTAGTGGTAACTTTATATACTTAAAAACAGATGATGATGAAAAAATGTCTTCAGTGTCACGAGAAATGAGGTAACTTAAACTATGTATTCCTTGCAGATTTTGTGTATTAACTTGTTTGCTTGAGAACTGGGAGAATAATTTTAGTCTTTGACCTGATTGCCTCCTAGCTGTATAACAACATTACTGCAATTCATATCGCAGCATATAAATTGTCTACACATTGAAACTGGGATTATATCATTTTATTTTGAGATATAGACACTTAAAAAACAATTAAGTTAAAAAATTCTAAGATGGCTATAATATGCATATGTAATTGGCTTGCAACATTTTAAAATCATCAAACTACTTTGATTCTAAGTTTGCCTGAAAAAAAATTATGCTATAAAATGAAATGTCAAAAATCACTTGGAATAAATTTAAATTGCTCATTAAAAATATAAAACATAACTTTCAACTAAAAAGTTAAATTAGCAATTTGTATCTCAATAAGATCAAGTTTTTCAGTTGGTTTCAGTTAAAAAAAAATATCTTTTTGAAAAAACACATCTCAAATAGTATTCTAAAGAAACCCTAAGGATTCTTTCTCACGGAAAAGTATACAGTTCAACATTATGTGAGTAAGTGCCAAATAGGGCAAAATATTTTTAGTTGAAGCCAATTTTTGTAACAAATGGATTTCAGCTGTTAAAAACAAGTACCTGTCTTGTATCACAATATTACAGAAATTTTTGCAGAGTAAGTGCTGAGTTGATTCTTAAAAGATAAGCAGACAAGTCCCACACAGACAGCAGAATCATAGGTACAATGCAGAGCATAACAAATATTCCAAGATAACATGTATATAATGAATACGTATGTAGGGATGAAAAAAGGAAAGAGATCTCATAATAAACCATCTCAATTTTTGCACTGAGTTAATGGGGAAGAATGGAATGACGACTTACAGCAAATAATGAAGGCCTGAAATTATTATAAGGAGAATTAGAAGAGACAAAAATAAGTAAAAAGATTGGAATTCTTATATCATTTAACTGTCATTAAAATATTAAATTCTATCATATGAACCGGCAGAACTCAAAGATCTTTTCTTTTCTAAAAGATTAGGAATGTAAATAAAGTTAATACACCCTTTGCAGATGCACGCAAAAATATTCTAAATCTGGCTAATGTCAAAGCAGACACTCTCCATTTTATTGTATTACAGTATCTGTAAGACCTTACCATAGAAGAAAGACAAGCTAAGTATCCTGAGGCTGATTTCACCTAGATCTTATTTCTGTCATTATTATTACCATGTAAGGGATCAGATCCATGGCATCACACATGGTAGGCTAGCATTCTACCACTGAGCTGGAACCCCAACTAGCAGCTGCCATTATGTGATGCACCAGAGACCAACACAAAGCTCATGGTAACCAGAACCAAGCTGATATGGATATAATGCCCCTGAACTTCCAAACCTATGAGTTAAATAAATCTCTTTATACGTAGTCTATTTTGTTACAGTGACCAAAAAAATGCTGACTAATACAGAACTGAATAATTTCAAAGTCTTTGATCTTTCTATCAAATCATACATTTCATTCTCTTCACACAGTTTCCAAGGACACTCAATTATATAGTGAAAACTTAATTTTAAAAATCTCAGATAAGATTATGTTAGTTTCTAAATACATCAAGTTGAATGCATAAATACTGTAGTACAATTGCTATTAGAAGCTACTGATTTCACTAGTTGGGTATCAGAAAAAATTTCAAAATAATAATTCAATATAAAATAATACTGAGGTAGTCATATATTATTACCATCTTTATAAAGGATTTTAAAATGAAAAACAGTACACTGGTGCATGTAACAAAGTAGATCCTGGCAGAAATGATGACTACATTGCTCATGAAAATCCTAAAATTGACAACTCAAATTATAACAAAGAATATTGCTCAAGAAAAATGAGGTAATGATTAATATTACAAGAGTTACCAGACAATCAGAACCAAATAGCAAAAATAAACTTTATTGAGAAAAGGCTGCTAGGGCAAGCTATGAGAACAGTTTCCACATATTTCCTTCCCCCGAAAGTTTCAAACCAATAGTTATAAGATTCAAATCTGTATATGTAATAAATTTTTTTGTGAATTGCTTAATCTGGCAATCCCAAGGATCAAACATAGTAGGAATGTTAAAAAAAAGGTTATCTAGCTGAGAAGAATATATAACTTACACAGTTTGTAAGTACTATCTATTAAAGAATCTAGTCTATAATACTCAACCATAATGAGTTAACACTTTGATTACAGCTACTTTAACAAAGAAAAACTCAGGTAACAAAAAATAAGAACTTTAAACTGTGAAAAGTTTACAGATTCTGGCAGGGGAAGTTTACTCAGTATTAATTTTTTTAAAAATCCTCCAGGAAATTGTTAAACATGGTCAGATTTGCTACTATAAAGTGTTCAAAAAAACTGGGGGAGTGGGCAGCAACTGAAAAATGCTTTCAACAATAAAAGAGATAACTGATATAAAAGAAACTGTAAAAGATGGCATATCTATTACAACTTGACATCTTATTACATCAAATGGAACATCTGCCCTCCAAAAAGTACTTATTTTATACTCATAACTTTTTTTTCTGAAACTTCATTCAAAAGTAGATCTTCAAATAGTACTTCACAGCGATCAGCAACTGTGTTCAATATATCTCTCTTCACTGCCTGGGGGGAAGTGGTGACACAAGCAAAAACAAAAGAAGAAATAAAATACTTTAGATTTGTATTAATTACTCCCCTGAAAAATGCATAATTTGCACGTCAATATGAGTATATCCATTAAAAATTGATAGTATCATTCCACTTATTTTTTCATTTATTTAGCAGGCCTATGAACACATTTACAGTTTAAAGACAAATTTGCCTCGATCTCATCTAAATAGTAAATTTAAACCAAATACATGAATGAAATTTTGCACTTAAATAAATCTTGCCAATATTCCAAATTATGAAATGTATAATTATGATATGGATGTAAGTGGTCATTTAAAGAAATTCTTGTGTTATAGAACAGCACCCAATAATTCTACCTACACATGCTTTTTCCATTTAAAAAATTCAATTTCCTTCAAAAGAAATGATTTCAAGCCAGGTATGGTAGTGCAGATCTGTAATCCCAACACTCAAATGACAGACGGGTCAGTCACTCTGAGTTCAAAGCCAGTCTGGACTACATAATGAGTTCAAGGCTAGCCTGAATTACAGAGACCCTGTCTCAAAAGCTAAAAAAAGGAAAGAAATGACTTTAGATATACTAAAGTGTTATAAGTGTTATTTACCAAACCTATATGATCAAAACTTTAAAAAGGAATAATACAGATATTCTATATGTGAAAATCTTGGGTCAAATTACATGGTCCAAGATAGATATGGAGTGCCCAACAGGTTGGACCATCATCAATTAAAATCAAATTATAATTATAAAATTTGAGGTTCAGAAAGATAAAGTATTAGGATATTGGAATAGTTATGTTAACTTAGTTCATTTTTACAGGCCAGTAATTCCTTTCTGTACCTGCACAGCGTCTTTAACTTTGGGTTTATTGCTATGAATGTAAGCTCTGCATTTCACATCACCCTTAAGGTTTACAGAACCGCTGCAGATCTGGACCATAGCTGTGGATCTGTGGTCTGAATTCAGGAGCTGAAAGATAAAATCTGTTTAAGTCCTAACTGCCAACAATATTAGGAGACGATACATAAGCCATTTTATGGAAAGAGAAATTTCTGAATGAAACAATCATTTGTAAACATTATCCATTAATTACTAATTCTCTTCCTAAGTTCCATTTTTTTCCTGAGCATTTTGAATGTCTATTAAAATCAAACCCAACTACACTGAAATTGTTTTTTTCACTAACATAAACATTTAAAACACCAATATTCATTTAATATATTAATTAAAAATATATTATTTGAGGAATACTTAGATTAATACTGTAAAGATGTACAGAAACATGATATAGTAGGAGACACAAGGTATGAAATACAAGAACTGTACAAAAAATAAAAATACAAGTAGGATGTGGTAAATATGGTAAAATTACAGGCAATGCAAAGGCCTACCATTTGTTTATACACTTTAAACCTATAACTTCCATTTGCTAAAAACAATGCTGTGGTTTGTTTATGGAAAAACAACATGTCAACTATGACTATTACCAGAAATTGAAATTAATGGTTTGAAATGAAAGAAAGTTATCATTTTCATTTCATAGTCCCATTTTCTTTATTCTAAGAGGTACTCATTCCTGCTTGGTTTTTAGGTGTTTCACAGACATTTGTAACCTTTTACCTTAGTAAGTGCCAAAACAGAGAGAACATGTACACATGGGAAGTACTGGTAAAGGCCTATCATCACAATGGAAACAAAAAATTGTAACTAAAAGCAAACAAAATTAAAAAATTGGACATGAAAAGAAAGTAATTTACATTCTACATACCCTTTCAACAATAGGGTCCGTTCTGTAGAACAAAAAGCAAATTATACGATTTGTCAAAGTGCTATAAGGCTATATAAGCCTATGCAATCAAGAAGAAACGAGGAAAAAATATAAAACAAATAGAAGGATGTGAATATGAAAGAGCATGAGTAGTTAATAGCTGACATAATTCAGAAAGAGGCTAGGTCAATTTAAAAATTAAAATTCAATCATGGCCCTCTTAGTAAAAGAATCTGTCACAGACCGAACAGTTCAAAAGGTCCCATGTCCATTTAAACAATGTTTACCACCAAATGAAATAGCAGGATGACAATGCCGATAGCAGGTTTGGAATTAGCTTCCTGTAACACTTGTACAGTTCACTGATACATGAATAAGGTGGGGGTGGAGAATAATGGGCCTCCCTTGCCCATACTACAAATCTTAACTGTCGATGAAACTATCTAAAAAATGACTTATTTTAAATATTCAATAATTTAAAACATACCATTTATCACATAGAAAATATTTATTATATATATATATATGGTAGGGGGTTGTTTTCCAAAATATGCTGGACTATATATAAGACTGCACATATATACACACCAAGGAAAAAAAATTTTTTTTTTAAGAAAAGCATTTTAAACATGTAAGAACTGACTTATCCTTTTTAGGTGAAAATATAGTTGGGTTCTATAAATGTAAATTCCTCTTGGTTACACGGATGTATGTACAAAATGGCTTACAGCTTTTGGGAATCTAACTTGTTTATAAGTGAGGAACTCTGTGATACTGATAAAGTATTTTGGAAAAAAGATCATTCCAGCTGTGGTGACCAAATGAAACCTGACAGAAGTAGTGGCATTCTGGGGTAGATTTCAATGTACAAGTAGGATTCTGACTGAACAAACAGGAGAAGATGGCATTGGCAAAATACACTGTTCAAGAAACACACAGAATTTTAAAAGTACATTAAGCACACATCTAGAATGTTAAGAGCTATGCTGAAACTATGAAGAGTCTTGAATTTGACTTTCCTAAGCAGCTAATATATAGGAATTATGCAATTTGAACAAGGACAATAACAAAATCTGTGTGACCCATATACAAACAAATAAGTTTCTGAAAAAAAAACAGTATAAGTGAATGAATGCAAAGTGTGATTCAGAAAGGATAACTCAATCTTATAAACAGGATGAAATAACAATATGGAAAGTATTCCACGCTACAAGCAACAATGTAAGGGTTTTCAGGACTGACTACTTTGAGAAGGAATGTATATATCAAAAGAGACCAGTTTTAAGAGTTTTATTTTATATGGGCTAATCTAGGTAAAATCTTACTGTTGTAAAGCTAATTGACAGTGGGAACTGTAAGGAAAACGAAAGATTTTTTCTTGTAAAGAAAGAAAGTCCTTCTTTTCTACAACAGACACTGTTTCTTTCAAAAGTTCTAATTGAATTAGTGGAATAATTGACAAAATGTATTAAATAGTATTACAAATATCCTTTATAGTATCACTTTCCGCTCTTCTGTCTATATTCCTTTGTTCTATATATCTCCAAACTGCAATTTTTATCACTAAATTAATTTTAAGCAAATTCCTTAATAAATCACAAAATCAATTTAACTAGTAAAGAGCATGCAACACCTCCATAATCAAAACGAAGAGAAAACGACATTAAAAGACTTTTAAGGTATTGGTAAAAAAAAAAACAGAACATATTTTGAGAGGCTTAAATTCAATGATAGCTTAGTAATACTCTTGTAGTTAAACAAAAAGATAAAGAAATTAAAATATCCTCTTGAGTCAAACTGCTTTTATTCTATTTTATTCAGTTAAAAGACTGTAGTATTTTCCCGGGTAGTATTTTCCCATTTCAAAGTCCAGTATGATACTGAAATGAAAATTTTCCTAAAAACATGGTTATACACTTGTCTATTATAGATACTTACTAATCAAAAGCATGTCAACTTTTAGGAATAATTAGTTTTGATGCTTTTTCTGCTTTGAATTTCCAAAGAAACTACACACACACCATATGGCAACCATACAGAAATATGAAACTTCATAATTCATACTTTGGGATTTTTATCAAATCAGTGGTAGCATAAATCTACTTTAATGTGATTATGTAGCAACCATTGGCATATCTATTCATAGATCTCTTACTTTTAAATTGCTAAGAATTGTAACTTTATTTGTAAAACCTACAACTCAAAATATTTAAATAAATGCATACACACACAAGTATGTTTATCCATGTAAATATCTTTAAAATAGACACCTACGTGACAGCCTTGAGGTAAAAGGCTTTAACAGATTTTAACATTTCTTGAGAGAAACTTTCTGGTAACTAGACATTTTATACAATTTCTTACACCTCTAAAATTCTTTTATTGTCTAATTATAAACATAAATACAAATAATTCCTTTGTTATTCTAAGAAGCAATGTGTTTTAAATGTATTTTAAAATAGTTACCAACTGCGTTAGCACTCGGACATCAAAAGAATGACTGGGCGCTTGAACATTTCCTCTAGATTTTTTCTAAAAAGAAACACAAACACGTAACAGTTAAAAAGTCTGACTGTTGAGATTGCAACTGGAACATAAAAGACAATTTAGGAACCAGCTCACAAATTAAACTAAATCAGTGAAAGGAAAAACAATTCTTACTTATTTTAACTCAGCTTTTTAATAGATACTCTATTTTATGTATTCTGTGTCAACCAATATGTATTATTAAAAACAAATTCCTACTTTTTAATTCCTCTAGAGCAAGAATAAAGTTTTATTGGAACAAAACCATGATCATTCATGTACATGATCACTAATGGCTACTTTTACTTCATGACAGCAGAGATGATAGCTGTATGGTCTACAAAGTCTAAAACATTTATTATTTGGCTTTTTACTTAAACTTTGCTGATTGTTAGAGTCTCTCTTCATTCAAGTCAAAGCTATTTTAGAAGCCCTGCTACTATGGCAGAACAACATGGGTCTTTTAGTATTAAGATGTAGTTTACAATTTGGAGATTAGATGAAATTTAGATGATACTCCCAATTAAAGTTTTCAGCGTTCCAACTACATCAGAAATAATTTCCTCCCATCATTTTCTGAGAAAAATTTGTCCTTTAGTTTCAAAAACTTCAGAAATGAGTAACTGAAAGCTGTTTTCATGAATGTAAGGATGAAAGATCTATCATCGTTTTTTTCCTAACATTATTTCATAAGTAAGATTATTTTCTCATAACTTACCTGTCCTTCTAGTAGGTCAGAATCTTCATCTTTAACTTGTCCATTAATAAAATAAACACCATTTTCAATTTGCTTGGCCCAGCGTGTAAGACCGTTCTTAAAAGAAATACAACATGAAAATCTTTTAGATATGTCATCTCAAGTAAACTCCCAAGGCTGCACTTTTTCCACCTAATATAATGAAAAACTGAAAATCTTTGATTATCAGTAATATAATATTTAAATCCAGTCTCACAAATTAAATAAAAAGACTAAATTTTGGCACTTTACCCATATTTAATAGCTTTTTGGATCTTATCCTAAACTAACATGTATATCACGGATTCCAAAGTCATACCAATTACATGAACACAGTAAAACAAAAATCAGTAACGCCCATTATTTTTTTAAAATGTAAGAGAAAAAGAGCCTCAAATAATATAAAGCAGTAAAGAGGAAAAAGTAAGCAAATTCCATGTGCTTTCTTCAATGTGAGAAAAAATTAGACAAAACAAGAGGATATCAAAATATAAAAAAGGACTGCAGAAGGGAAGACAAAACTAGTAAGTACCAAAAGAAAGACTAAACACTATAACTACTTACATAATTATATTTCCATATACTAACTAATAAATATTTATTAAGTACCTATTCTGCTCAATATTATGACATTGGTTCACCTCTAAAAAATTCTAATCTGGCTGGAACATTTAAAGATTATAAAATGACATAGACAATCAGGACAGCAGATTGTCTACCCACCAATCACTAAAGAAAGTTCACTTTACCCTGATACCTTTGTATTTTTCTCCAGAGTATAGCTGACAGAAGTTGTAGAAAGTGGGATGTGAATATCAATGTGAACAGTACACTCAAGAGAAAGCCACGAGGTAGACAGTCTACTCTGATACTTCCAATCTGCAGGTCTTCCCGAACCCTTCAGTAAGGGAGAAGGTAGAAAAACAAAGTACGACATAGTTTAAGTAAAATACACGCATCAATAAAATACTGTAAAATGTGCAACCTTAAAAATTCAAGTAAGCTTACACCCAGTATATTTGGCCAAATTCATTAATTAAAGGGCACTAGATTAGAACTAAACAAGAAATAAAGCGTGTATTAAGTTCAGTAATCTTTAATACATCCTAGGCAACCTGCCTCACCTCTAAGGCATAAGAAAAGGATCAGAGTGTTCCATGTTTAGAATTCTGAAAATCTTCTGGATACCAATACCCTCAGTAGTGTGAATTTTGAAGATGTAGATGCACAGCAAATAATTACTAAGTAATTAATAGGTTAAAGACATTCTCCTCTCTATCCCATTCTTGCTAAAAACATTGCAAAGTTATTTTTTCACATTGCTTTTAGACACCTTAACAAAACGCTGGCCTAAGTTCTGCTGAATACAGGCAGCTTGTTTACTAGGTGCTACAGCTACCAAAAGCCTTCAGTCATTTTTACTATCAGCTTTTCAAATACAAATGTGAACACATTAATAAGGGAGAGGAGGCTTAAAGATATATTAATAATATAAAAAACAACATTTCCTTGCCTATAATGATATATATATATATATATATATATATATATATATATATATATATATTTTGTTTTATTTACCAACTTTGTGATAATTTATTACAGCAGCCTAAGAAAACGAATACAAGCCCTGTAATTTTGACATTTTGAGAATGTTA